GGGGCTTCAGGGGGAGAGATGGGGCGGGGGATGTTCTGAAGGACACTCATACTAGACCAGCCAGTTAATATTACAAAGTTGGCAACCCCCATAACCCTGTGTAAAATAGCAACACTGTCATGAATAGAGCACACTTTATACAAAGGATCCTAAAGCACTCTGCAAACAAGGCACACACAGCCCCTCTGCGTGGCACCCTCCACATATGTATGAAGCAACTGTCAACTGGAAAACACAAATGAGAATGGCAGGAACTGAAGTCTTGATAAACAATACTGGGAAAAATCCCTAATACGTGCCATAGGATCTTCAAGGCCAGATTTATATATGTGTGTATTTGGGGAGTAAAGGGGGGTGTGCATGTGCCTGGTGTGTACTTGCATGTCTAATTCATGCATGGCAATGGACTGCAAAAAGGCTAGTCAGATGCATAGTTAATCATGTGTCATAACAAACAGGAGAACGGCACATGCAAGTTTAATGATCATGAATGTAGATCAAGTGTGCAGGAACATGATTTTCAAAATCTCCCCCTCCGTGTCCATACAGAGCAGACCAAATGTGTTATTTTAAGGTCTGAAGCACATGCATACACACCGCACTGAGTGCACACTGAAGGGTGCAAAGTGTCAGCTGTCAAAGAGTCAGCGACCTCTCTGAGAACATCAGCTATATAAAATGCTACGAAGAACATGTAAAAAGAAGTGCCGAATGAGGCAAAAGCTCTATGTTTACAGGGGAAGCCAAATGCTACAATGAAAAATTGGGTCAAGGAAGCTTTGTAATAAATAGGAGGTGGAAGAATTGTCACCCAGAACTACACGAGGTCCCACATAGTTAGGTAGAAGCTATAACTACCAGGAAAAGGCTAGATAAATCAAAATCCTGATCAGAGTGTGACCTGCAGAAGCAATGTGAAAAATGATGGCTATAAAGGAACACTGCTGTGATATCTGAAAAGCTCATATCAGCTTGAAACCTTTGACTTTTCTTAATGGTGACATTACCACTTCCTAAGTCTCTGCATCTGTCTTACCACAATCAGACAGGAATCTAGCAGTTTCACAGCAGCTGGCTCCCTCAAGTTCAGTACTGTAGCAAAAACAAGTTGGCAGAAACACATCAACACAGTGTGCAGGCACAGTTAGGATTTTGCAGACTACATTGAAAAGCTTGGGTTAGGTACAATTTAATCCAATTCCTCTTGGTTTTTCTGGTGTCATTAACTCCAGATCCTGTTGCTACATGTCTACAAAAACTTTTCTGTACTAGTTTCGCCCACCGTGTGCAAGGGAAAAAATGGATCCAAACTAATCAACCAGGGTTGTCTTCACAGAGCATGGCTGTTAGGAGTACAAAAATTCCTCTTACCTGTTGCAAAAAAGCACCAGAAAAGCTGCTACCTGTTGCCCAATTCCCGAGCCACATTCAACACTCAGATGAAAAGTACTTTGCAGAGTTGTCAGCCAAAGTGGAGACTGACAACTTGTCCCCCTGATTGGAAGGGAAAAAAAACCACAGCAAAACTCAGCAGGTTGCTGGAGGGGAGAAAAAGCCCCTTTCTTTATATCCTACATCCCAGCAACCGACACAGAAATGGGAAAAAAATGACACACATACACAGAGCAAGAAGGGGTGAAAGAAATATGAAGGAGTCCAGCTCTAGGGAGAGATGATCTAACTGCAAGAAAAGCAGCCGGGAGTAGGGACAATGCTCAGGGTTAGATTAGTCTGCGGGAGAGAGCTGCAAAGTGTAATGACCTGGGATCTGGGAAAGGGGTGTGTGGGAGGGGTTGAGGGAGGGAAGAGGGGTAGGGGGTGTGGTGAAAGGAAGGGAGAGAGCTCTCTTGGATAGGGAGGGGGCAGAGAGTGCTTTGAGGAGGACGGGATGGAAGGAAAGAGTAGAGAGGAAGGAGACAGAGTCTGGTTTCGGGTGGGAGACCAGGGAGGGCTGGTTTGGGGATGTACATGAGAGAGGAGAGGGCTTATACCGGGGTGTTCTGAGGGGAGAGTGAAAGTGGAGACAGGAGTGGAGCTGCGGAGCAGGAGGAGGCTGAGAGAAAAGGGCAAGAGGCTTGCTGGGTTAAAAGGGAGACAGGGAGGGTGAGAAGGATGGGGCAGGGGACAGGTTTAGGGGAAGAGGAGCAAGGGCAGCATGATAGGAGAGGGTTAGGGGACAGGCTTGGGGGGAGGGGGAGGAGGCTAGAGTCAGGTTTAGGGGATGGGGAGAAGGGGCAGAGTGGGAGTAGGGGGCTGAGGCAATTGGAGGGAAGGCAGCATAGGAGGAAGGGATTAGGGGAGGGAGAGGCTAGGGCAGGTTTAGAGGAGGCAAAGCAGGAAGAGGGCCTGGAGCAGAGTTAGGTGAAGGGGGCAGGGGCAGAGTGGGTGGATGGAGTGGGCAGCTTTAGAGGAGAGGGAAAGGGAGGAGGGGGAGCAGGGGGCACATCAGTGGAAGGGAGTTAGGATCAAGTTTAGGGGAGGGGGAGCAGGCTGAGAGCAGGAGGAAGGGGCTGGGGAAGGTCTGGGGGAAGAGAGGCAGCAAGAAGAGGGGTCTAGGGCAGGTTTAGAGGAGGGGAAGAAAGGGAAAAGTGGAAGGAGGGGTCTGGGGCAGGTTTAAGGGAGGCAGAACAGAAGGCAGGGGTTAGAGGAAGGGTTAGGGGAGCCATGGGGGGGGGGCTAGGGCAGGTTTAGTGGGAAGAGAAGCAGGGCAGAGCAAAGGAGGGGGAGAGGAAACAGGAGGAGGGAGCTGGGGCAGATTTAGGGAAGGAGGAGCAGCAGGGGGAGGCTAGGGGCAGGTTTAGGGGAAACAATGGTTGGGGGCAGGTTTAGGGGAGGGGGAGCAGGGGCAGAGCAAGAGGAGGGGCAAAGGGGAAGCAGGAGCAGGGGTGGAGGAGAGGGTGGGGCAGGGTTAAGGGAAGGGGGTGAGGAGCAGGCTCTGGGGATCTGGTTTCAGAGGCTATTAAAGCACACAGGAGAGAGGGAGAAAAGCAAGAGGCTGACAGCTCCCCTGGCCAATTATAGCCTAACTTTGCCAAGTATTTTGGTCTCTTTATGGCTGTATCTGAAATAACTGTCTATGGAGAGGACGGGGCGGGGGGAGGGGAGGAGAAGAGAGCACTTGAGAGGTAGGTGCCACCCCCAGAGGACATGGAAGAATGAGCACCCTTTTTCCCCTTGTCATCTTCCTGCATGGCTGGGCCAAAGGGCAGAGAGTGAGGGACACATCCCTACTGCCTTTGGGAAAGAAATGCCCATTTTGGCTCGGAGAACAGGTGGCTGCCTTGTCCCTGACCTCCCTGAACTCAGAGTCTAAATAAAAAGCCCTCAGCAGAGACATTTCTGGCAGAATTTCAGCCCTGGGCCTGTTTGCTGGAGCCGTCTGTCCATCCTACATCCACCACCACATGCCTCTGATCTTCATTCCTGGAGAGACCCCATCGCCACACTCAGACGCCCAGAAGTCTGCTGCTCGTGTGGGGATTCTTTGTGGTGCCCTCACAAGAGGGACAAGGATAGGGCTGGTTTCACGGCACTAGTGACCACTAATTCCTGCACCTTGCCCATTCGGTGCCCATTCTGTGGCTCTTTACTCTGCGAGCAATCCCATTGGTTCTCAGCAGGCGGCTCTCAAATAGAACGCCTCTCCGTGAAGGGAAAGGTGGCAAAATCAGGCCTCCAGCGAGCAAACTGTCAAGGGGTAAGCACAAACCCAGTAATCCCATTGAATTCAAAGGGACTGCTGAGGTGAATAGGATATTTAAGATATGGTCTCTTAGCAATGTGATAATGACCCATAGCATGCATTTCTTTTCCTTGCCCCACTTGCTGTTTGTCCACACAATAGCCTGTCATCACATGCCTGTCAGTCAAGTGACAATAATATTAGGCTTTGAGTGTAAGTAACCCTAAGGGTTCACCTTGCTGCACCCGGAGCTCGAAATAAGATACGCAATTTGAGCAATGCAAATTGCGTAACTTATTTTGGGTTAATTTCAAAATAGTTTATTTTGAAATTTGGTGCTGCCTACATGGCACTTATTTTGAAATAAATCACTGTTCCAAAACGTCCCTTACTCCTTATGGAATGAGGTTTATAGGGACGCCAGAATAGCGAGCCTGTTATATTTTGAAATAATGGGTGCGCTCAAAAGATGCAGAATAGCTATTTCGGGATACATTTGGCATCCCAGAATAGCGCTGCAATTTAGATGTAGCCTAATACCGCCACATAGAGAAGTATGGATCCCACTTCCTCCTGCATTACGGTTACTCAGACTCAAATTCTAGTTGCCATGGGAAACACAGGGGTGGATACCAGGTACCCTCCATTCCAAGGGATCAAGTGGGTAACAGGCAGAACCACTCAAAATACAGTACCCACGATTTACACTCACCTATTCTGCCACCTCAGGAGAGCTCTGGGAGTCATCTCTGTATACCATACCTCCCAGTATTCCCCCTGGGGTGATGCATGTATACATTAACTAACCCTTCCTTTGGGGTGTGCCTATAGGCACATCCGATCCCTTGTTAATTCTCACAGCACTCTACTGAGTTAAAAGGCAGCCATCACGGGTTTGCCTGTTCATGGAGTTGTGCTGGTTTGGTGTGAGATGTGGTCTTACACTAGTCTGTTTAAACCAGCTAAGGAGAGGAAATCAGGGAGCTAATGGGTTCAGGAGGCATCTGCTCTAATGTTTTCTTTATAACACCTGCTGCTGAGGTGGTGAATGTTATTCCTGACTTGGGCTTTCACACATTCCTGAGACTGCTCCAGGCCACCATATGTGATAGTTTAGGAAGGAAAATATCTGTTAGATCCCCAACCAGGGCAAGAGATGTTCCTTATCACCTAGATTTCCTGTGGGGACAAAAGCAAGCTCTGCTAATGGAGGAAAACCGTGGTCTTTTACAACTATTCCCCCAGCCCTTCACTTGCAGAGACCCAATTCAGCAAAGCACTTAATCAGCAAGCGTGTGCTTTTGTGCCTTGCTGAACTGGGGCTTCAATTTAGTGTTCAGAGTAAACTTGGCCTTTTACAAACTCTTCATGGTGTTGGTAATGTGGCACATCTCCAGCAGTGCCCTTGGGTCTTGCGCTTCTGTGTGGTTGTTGTATGCCTCAGAGGCTTGCTGTGACCCTCCACATGGCCTCTTATCTTTTATAGAGGCCAGGGTCACAGCCTACTGAGCCATCCTCATCATTGGCCAAGTCAAAGGATCTGGGTGAAATCCTGGCCTCCCTTTCTAGGAACAGACTTTTCAGTGGTATGGGAAGGGTTGGGGGGAACCCAGGCCCACCCACTACTCTGGGTTCCAGCCCAGGAACCCTAAGCAGCAATTGATGCAGGTTTTCCTCTAGCCCCAATGCAGCAGTCTTTTCCCTGGGCCACTTCCCCAAACTCTCCCCTAGTACCTTCTCTCTGGTACCGGAGCAAATCTTTCCTGCTTCAGACCAAATACTCTTTCCAGCAACACACTTCCTCCTCTCAGTCCTTCACTCTTCTCCTTCCCCCTCTTACCTTTTAAACTAGCCTAGCAAATCTTAATGGGCTGCAGGTGCCTGATTAGCCTGTTGCTTCAGGCAAGCTCGTAATTAGCCTTAGGTGCTTGCCTGATTTGATTACTATGGCAGCAGTCTCTGGCAGTTTATTCAGGAAACAGAAACACATTCACCCAGCTCCCAGCATGCCTGCCCTCCACCAAACTATTGTTTCCAAGGACCCAGGCGACCTGGCGCGGGTGGAGGCCTGCCAAGCTGTCTACTCAGTGGCCTCCTCCACCCAGGTCAACTAGGTCAAGAGCTCTGGCCTGATGGTGGGGGTCGGGTGGCAGGCGAGTTCCCTCCCACCTGCGCTTCAGGCCATCAGGTGGAGCGCAGGTCCACTGCTCTATCTCAGCATTTTTCTCTCTGCTGCACATCCCTCTCTGCTGGAGAACTGGCAAGGTTTAGAGTCCAGGGTGGTTGGGTGGTTGAGGGGATGGACGGGACTGCTCTGGTGCCTCTCCCTGTGTGGGAGGGTGCTGGTGCTTAACCAACTGGTCCTGTCCATGCTCTGGCAAATTCTCAACACCCTGGTCCTTCCGCCGGGTTTCTTGGCTCAGATCCAGCAGCCAATGCTGCGGTTCTTCTGGACAGGACTGCATTGGGTCTCTGCAGGGGTTCTCCATCTCCCCCTGGAGGAGGTAGGGCAGGGCCTGATGTGTTTGCGCACACGGGTTCATGTCCTCTGCCTCCAGGCCCTGAAGAGACTCTTATTTGATGAAGGTCGTCCAGCGTGGAGCATGCTTGTGCACGCTTTTCTTCACCACTTTCGAGGGCTCCGATATGACCGGCAGCTCCTTTATTTGAGGGGTCTTCCGCAAGACCTCTCCAGGCTGCTGGCCTTCTACCAGGACCTCCTCCGGGCCTGGAAGCTGCTTGCGGCAACCAGGTCCTTGGGAGCCATTGGGGGTGGGGGAGCAGACCTCCTCGTGGAACCCTGTACAATCCCCATCTACGTTTGCAAGCGGTGGAGTCCCCGTCGGTGTGCCAGAGGTTGGTCCTGGCAGAAGTCACTAGAATTGGAGACCTCCTGGATTACAATCTTCTGGCGCTCACCCAGCACATGGGGCTCTCCACCCTATATACTCCCTGGCGCATACTTCAGGAGGTGAAGGAAGCTTCGCTGCACACTGCTCGGGTGTACCTAAACAGGGTCCTGCGAGAGGGTGCACCCTGCCCACCCCTCACCCCAGGCCCTCCTGATCTCTCCATTGGCCCCCAGCCCTGCATACCTTCCCTTCCACCTCCCCCTC